TGATGCCGTTACAGGGGTGCCTATACAGGGGATGGAGATGTCCATCAGATTTAGATATCTATCAGAGTTTAAAAACCAAGAGTGATGCCTTCTATCTTCATGATTCTTTAAATGATATTTGTAGGTTATGGATATATCCATTACAACCATGGTTGTAGTGCAATCAAAATATGTACTAATTCAAATCCATTAGGGTTGTACATGTTAATGGTAGAGACATTTCCGAACTGGGCCTGTATCTCCTGCCCAATTTGTCTGGTACCCCAACACTTAACTATACGACTTGTGTTCAAAATACCACAAGAAAACCCTCGCCCTGACGTAATGGAGAGAAAACCTTCACCTACCCCTGGTACCGAAAAGTTATTTCCCTCCCCTCTGCAACACTTGACAACTCCGATTTCGTCCATCAATGCGCAAATGTGGTCGTCACCCATCATGACATCGCATCATTGTAGTAGACCCTTTTGGTACAAAGTCTTACTTCCAACAGAGCAAATTGTTCCCTCCGGACCTCAGCCTGCAAAAGAAATTTCAACCGCTAGAGATGGTTGTGAAAGATACATTCGGCTCGATAGAGATATTGGCACCTTCATTAAAACATTCAATTCTCTGCGTAGTTTCTCCGGTTTGAAGATTTTTTATGAGAAAAATGCTCTGTAAAACCATGGTATATCATTCAACAGGTTTCCGTCTGTATTTGAATGATAGATTGAAAGAGTTGAATTACTCCTCTTCAGATGGTGGTGGAGTTCAGGGATAGGAGAAGGGGATAGAGGAGAGGAAAAGAGGATAATAGGTCGACAGGGTATTTCAGTAAAAATATGAGTTCGGATAGGAAAAGAGGATAAAGGAGAGGAAAAGACGATAACAGGTCGACAGGGTATTTCAATAAAAATATATACAAACTAATTAAAGGGTAAATGGGTATTTCAAAAGAAATGATGCATCGGTCTACCATTTTCCGTCTGGGTCATTGAGGAAATGGAGGTTTTTGTCGAGTTATTTAAAAATACATGGGAGGTTTTGGATAAAGTAAAATTATAGGGGAGGATTTTATGATTATCAGAAACTTTGGGGAAAGTTTTTGTATTTTACCCATACAAAATAAAACTCCATTCACCAAATATTGAAGTAGTAAGCGAATCATTTCTTAATTCCTGAGGTAATAAATATATAGTTGGAAATCACAGTAGGGGTGGGAGAGACAAACAAGACTCTTCATATATGCGTGCAGTTTAGAAAGAGATCGAGATTTTATACCCATTGGCAGATAGATCGACTTGGTCCAATTTATTAGTTTTTGGATCATAACAACATAACATCCTTTTACAACATAACTCCTAGTGTGTGTGGGTGTGTGTATGTCTATAAGACACATGTATGATTTTTTTTTCGTATTAACATTATATCTTATGTATAACATTTATTTTTGTGATTTTTTGTATTTTTTATTTTTAAAAAATTTATTATTTGACTATGACATCATTTCATTTCTAAGTTGATTTTAATTTTGACATTCATTTTCATCATTTATAAAAATACTTTTTACATTTCATACTTATTTTTGTTTAGTATAATGAATATACAATATTAGTGATGTGCCCAATTCTTTTTACATTTTTTTGTATTATATATTTTATTTATTTATTATTTAATTATGGTATTATTTATTAACCCACCACCTAGAGTGAAGAAAAGGGTTTTGTTTTCAAAATATTTATTTTATATTATTAAAATTAATATTATGAATTTAATTAATAGGATTTAATAATGAAAAAATTATATCTCAAATATATGATTTAATAGGAGAATATACCTTAGATATGTGATTTAATGAGAGATAATAGAAAAATAGTTTTACTTACAATTGGTTTTAAATTTTATATCAATTTCCATCATTAATAAAAAACATTTCTTATTTATCATCAATGTTTTCGATCTGTTGACTTGGCCGATTGATCCATTCGGAACGTCACTTGACATTGATCCTAAGTTTGGTTCTATTGAAACTCCCCCTTTCAGTTAAAAACCATCTAACTCGGGTGGTTCAACCATCACACTTAATTATGTGCAAATTTTGGAAGGCATAACTTTGCACTTTGATGTCTGATTTGGGTTATCTTTTTTTTTTTTGAGTAATTTTTCAAGATCTATATGTCCCAAGGGCCTTAGGTGCCTTTCCTTGCCATTTTTGCAAAAAAACACCCCCTTTTTGGCCCCAAATTGAAATTTTAATATTTTTATAAATAAAAAAAATTAAAATTTGAATTAAAAAACATAAATAAATATAACATAGTACATATATAATACATATATTATATGTAATATATGTAAAACATAATTATAAAATATATGTAAAGCATAACTATAATATATATAAAACATAATTGTACTATTTATTGATAAAATATGTACTTTTACGTACACACATATAGTGTTGATGCAAAGTGGTGTGACTCATTTGACCTTGATAGTCCAACCGGTGATCTGTGACCCAAAGGCAAAAGCGGGTCGGTCTCCAAGTCGATTTTTAAAACATTGTTTATCATACTAATTATTGTTTAATATGTCAAATATATGATGTTAAAAATGTCACCATTTTTTTTATTTCTACATTTCTTGCAATTTATATATTTTTAAATTTTATTATTTAATTGTAGCAACATGGATTGACCCATTTGACCCAAATGGTTTAATTTCTTAACACCACCTAGATGAAAACACTATTTTTTTCCATATAAATATTAAAAGTACAAGTTTTTATGTTATTGAAATTATTAATTTATTTGTAAGACAGTTTTGTATGCCCTTAGCCTCAATCAGAATGATGTACTTTATGAGTTTATTGTAAATGAATAAAAGTGCATATTTGATTCATGTTCCCTTGGTTTGTTTCTTTGTAATACCCTTAAACTGGACACTTAATGAGACTCGTATTAGTTTAGAATGTTCACAGCTAGTGGGTCGGTCTGGGGCCACAAGGCTGACACTGTGGTGCCACCAAGTCGGTTGGGGTGGCCTGTCTCAGCTGCYAGGGTGAGACCCTAGGCACATACAGTGTAGGATTAATTGAATCTTTGAACTGGACCAGATTTCCAGTATTGCCCTGGACCTTGGAGATTGATGGGCAAAACTGGAAAGTTACACCCGACCCCTAAACTCGATTATGATACTGCACTAAGTGTCGGATTGGGCTGTCTTTGATGTATCAATCAGTGAGATCCTTAGCGGGGGTCAAAACCTGGGTATGTTGGGATAGTCTGAGAATTCATCTTAGTGGGTGATCATAGTGACAAGATCAGCCCCTTTGTCGAACAAAGGTAATGATCGGGGATGCACTCTCACTGATGGAAACCAAGACTGGCGGTAGCCAATTTCAATCGTTGAGATTTGTTTTGCAAAATATATTTTATATGAGATATTCTAAAATGTTTGCAAGAAGGTTTTAATTCTCGTGATCCATATAAGCAGAGAGTTCAACACTGTTCCTTGTAGCCGAGGGAGAGGTATTCTCTTGTCGGACAGTGTATGATCATTATGGGCTGAGAGGTTAAGTATAAGACCATTGAGGATAATACCTGATGGGTTAATCTTGCATCTGCCCACAGTCCCTGCGTGTTACAAGGTGGCTTGGCCCAGTGACCACTTAGAGTAAGTGTTGGGCCCATAAAGTCCATTTGATGGCTTTCAAGGGGTGCACTGTCTATAACAGTGTATTCGGCCAAGCCTTGTAACAAAAGCTGGGCCGAATCCATGTGGCTGATGTGTAGATCAATGCTTGGGTCCCACGCCATACCAGGAAGCCCAACTGGGCAGCAGTTAGGAAGGTTAAGTGAGTACATAAGCTAAATGGGCCTAAAGCTCATTTCGAACTGGGCTATTTAATTAGTTAATTATGGGGCGAATTCTTAGATGGATTAGTAGATAGGATAGGGTCATCCATTCAGAGAGTCCATATCTGAATGTGATTCAGATCTAGAAACCTCCTAATGAAATTAGGAGAAAGCTAATCCATTCTACAGATAAGATAAGGGTTTATCCCTATCAGCAAAAGAAATGTCTGATCCAAATATGATTTGGATAAGCAACTCCTAATTGGATTAGGAGCTGATCATTGAATTAACAAAAGAAGGAGGGTGCAACACCCTTTAGAAGAATGGGATATTCACATCCTCTTGAGTGCTGAAAACACAGAAGGAAGAATTAAACATCCCTGCAGAATTCTTTCTTGCTGCCTCCTTGTTCTTGCCGTCCCTGTTTGCTAGTTCGATCTCCAGTTGTAGGAGAAGTCAAGATTCACTCTTGACATCAGTTCTTGAGAAAGGATTGATAGGAAACTGTGCTCACGTGCCATCCTGCTGTTTCTTGCGAATGACAGAATTCTTAGAGAATAATACTACTGATTTTGCTCCATCCTGCACTGCGCCATTTTCAGTGGGAGTAGTCTTTGGATCCTTCCTTGGGTGTGAACACCTTCGTTGGGGATACTGTTTCTCCGTATCAGGTATAATTCTCTCCACTCCTTTTGGTTCAGATCTGGTTCAGTTTATGGTTCAAGAATGATCATTGAAAATATGATTTTCTAAATAGGGAATGCGATTCCCAGTTGAAGAGAGAGAAAAATTTTTGAAATTCGCCCCCTTATCCTGCAATCTTTGGGCATCCATACGATGGATCTCTCATCCCTTCATTATTATGTATGAATTTAATTATAGAATTTAATGACGAAAAAAAACAAAAAAACCTTGAATATATAATTCAATGATGGTAAATGCAAATTAATGCCTTAAATGCTGGATTTAATGAGAGAGAATTGAATGTATTGAATATTTTAAAATCACTTCTTTTCAACTCATTTAATATCATTACCAATTACCTATTTATCTTCATTTTTTATCCATAAATTTAAATATAGAGGGATAAGTTTTGTCCTAAAAAATTCAAAAATTATTCCTGAGGCTATTCTTATATGGGTGGTTTTTGGATCCTTTTTTAACTAGAGAGAATTTCATTAACTTACATTAATTCAAAAAAGGAACTGATGGTATTTCAACAGGGCTAAGGTGAAGAATTTTCATTCTTCGCCCAATAATAAATTGATACAAGGAAGAAGAATGAACTGTTTTGGATTCAAACATGCATCCAGTCATCCATAACGGGTTTATTTATCCAGGCACTCGAAGAGAGAGAGATGATTATTCATTAGTTACGATATCATATCTGTTGAGATGTTAGGAGGAGGAACCCTGACTTTGGTGGCCTGTTCGAAGGCATAAGCAATCTCTATCAGCTTCGGCTCAGAACCCTTCAATCCCGAAAAGAAGATGCCAAATGGCAATCCTTTACGATTATAACCCGCAGGAACAGTAATCCCTGGGTATCCCCCAAATGCCAGTACAGAAGATACCCTCGAATCTGGAGTCACCAACGCGTCCAAGTTATTCTCCATCATCAACTTCTCAAATCCATCCCTTGATAGTCTACTCATATTCATCAATGCTTCCTTCTCTACCTCACCTATACCGTTGGTGCTATTAGCATTCAAAAAGATGTCTTGAGGATATTCTTCAATCTTCTCCTGTAATTAATGCATGCATCTGATATTGTATAAATCTCAGTCACACAATAACAACATTATTCTAGAATAGACTAGACTAATACCTACCAGTTTTGAAAAATTCTGGTTGAAGGCTATTGCATCTGCCAATGATCTGATTGGGGAAGCGACTAACTCTTTCAGGTAAGCATTCAGGGACTGCTTGAACTCGGCGTACAAAGCAATAAGTTCACCACTGTGAAAGAGATCTAGGATGGCATCAACTTGGGCTATTGTCAAATTGTCCATCAAAATTGCACCTTTTTTCCTTCAAGCGAGCAAATGTTTAATTAATAAAAGTTCCAAATCAAAAGATGTATATATATATATATATATATTTTTTATGAAAGTGCTAAAGCACAAAATCATTCATCTCATTGAAATATCAGTAGCTAGCACATCAACAATGAAGTCCGGGCTACTTGCTCAGGTACATATTCAGGAAAAAGTCGTAGCAAATCCAGCGAAAGCGTGAACCACTTGATTTACCATTTGCTTAGCATGGTTGATTGAGATAAACGGAAAGCTTGATTGGACTCAAAATGCTTGGGGAGGGGGGGGGGTGTGCAGAGTACTCAGGGACTCTTTGGTTTAATGAATTCCTCTGTTCACCAAAAAAACAACATTCTCAGAGTACTGGGTAGTCAATACTTTTGGGTATTCCCAATCAGGTCCAATTAGGAGTGCAATTTTTGCTTTGCTGGTTAAGGTTGGGATTTTGTCAAAATTTCAATGGATCTAATTCAAAGCCTAAGCCTGAGACCGAAACAACATAAACTCGGGTCAACCCAACTTGCACCCTTAGGTTCAATCCTCCTCCGCTGTGTTTTCCAATTCTTAGGGGATAAACTGTTGGGTTGGGGTTTTGTGTTTTAGGCCCAGCCCATTGTTTTCACCCACACACACTACGTACTTGATACACATCGCAATATAGATGCAAGATCAAAACCCCGACTTTTGTTTAATAATGAAAAAAAAAAATAGCCATTACCCAATGTTGGTCCCAGGTATCTATCTGTTAGAGAATAAAAACTCATTCAGAGACCTCACCTAACAGTTTAAGTGGTTCTGTGAGATGATATCATAGCTTGTTTGACGAAGCAATCTAGCGTTTGATCTGTGCTTGTCTGCACTCTAAGTCCAATAGCCTTTTGTTTAAAAGGATGTATTAGAGAATAAAAACCTCCTATTCAGAATCCTCACCTAACAGTTCAAGCTTTTAGATTGAAGGGTTCCGTGAGAGTGGCTTCAAATTCAAATACTGTGTGAATGGTAATTTTTGGTAAGTGAAATGGTAAACGAAATTTGGCTTAAAAATTGAAATTGAATTGTTACCTCAGTTTCTTTAAATGCTCCTCAAAAGCTTTCTCCACGAACGAGTCACCAATAATCTTGAAGAACGGTTTCCTCACTATTCCCAGCCTCTTACCTTGAAGTCCGTTTTCCTTTAGAAACTGCAGGTAACCTCCTTTAGGGATGAACCTTGATGCCTTCCTTGTTGCTTTGGCGTCCTTCTTGTCAAAACCAACAATTGCATCCAGTACGTGAACTGCATCTGACACTGTTCGACAGATGGGCCTGTTTCCTTCAACATCAAATGGATACAAATCTCTTGTTAGTACGTATGATCACTTTTACAGTTTGCATCCTTTCAAAAATTGGGCCGATGAATGCAAAGATTGGGCCGATGGCCCCTATTAGTACTTGAGAAGGCTAGTCTGCATCCTTTCAAAAAGAGGCATGTTATCAAACATTCAACCCCATCGAATCGTTAGTAGGCCTCACATGCACCTTGCTCTATCCCCGAATTCATCAATTGAGCACTGTAGCTGTTCAGCAGGCTGTGAAACCAATAATAATGCCCACGCCAGTGATAAAATACATTGACCCACACTTAAGAAGTTGGTCATGGGCCCATGTATTGTATGACTGGTGTACATTGTTATTATTGGTTCTACAAATACAATTGATGAACCGAGAAGTTTGGATCTACTGACCACAATACATTATTGGCCATGTTCGCCCAATCGCACATTAGAAACATCTCTTGTATTTTATATTGCCATCACTCCCAATGTGCAGCTGTGGTTCATCAAATAATGATGATAGACTTTGATCCAAACCAAAATCTAAACCATGGTTCATCAAATAATGGCGATAGACTTTGGTGAGAATGAATTAACCCAGTTCAACCTGTTGGGTAAATCGAATAATTGGTTCTAACTCGTTAACTGGAACTGCAATTCTTACCCAACTGAATCCTGTCTTGGGGAGATAGGGATTACCCCAGCTCGGCTGGTGAGTCCAACCGTGGGTTTGATTCCCACAACAGAGTTGAAACTTGCTGGACAAATGATGGAGCCGTCTGTCTCTGTCCCGAGTGACACGGCTACCATGTTTGCTGCCACTGAAATGGCTGAACCACTGCTGGATCCACAAGTATCGTTCGACAGAAGGTATGGATTCTATGCACATGGAATTATAGAGAATTATTCAATCTCCAAAGGAAGAATAGCTAGTTTTTTGACTTTTAACTACCAAGCCACCTCTGTAATTTGTATACAAACTAACCATGGGACAACAAAAACTCATCAAACTCGTTTACTGTTAGAGATGCCAACCTGGTTTCTTTGATCATCAAATACAGAAGCAATCCAAATAGTGAACAATAGAGACTTCATCACTTTCACTGCTTCGGCTCTGTTTATTTGCAGTGCAAATCAGAACCCAGTGCAAGTTTTATAGTTGGTTCAGTTTTGCATCCAATTATGATTTGCACTCCTATTTAATATAAAATTTGTGCTTTTAGTCTCGTTTGCAGTTTTGCACTCATTGTCATTGCAAATTTTGCATCTAGCAAATTAATGCAAAATTTGCACCTTCTCTCTCATGTAAAGTGGGAACAACATCATCTTGCCTCCTACCTCACTCTTGAAATCTCTTTCATATAAAGTATAGACAAAATAATTTTACTTCTCACAAACAAACAAGACAAAATCAAATATATAAAGCGAAAGTGAAACAGAATACTCTACCTATTTGCACTCTCATGCATTTACACCAATGCAAACAAAATAAACATAATGAGCCTTAAGAGCATAGGAGTACATATCATTAATTGGCAGGTCAGGTGCAATAAAAACCCATATAACCCAATTTTGTCATGTGAAGTTTAACATCCTTTCAGAATGACATGTTTGATTATTAACATCCTTTGATAGTGGTTAAGATCCTACTTCACTAGTGTGCCATTTATGTCACAACAAAAATTGTTTTCTGTGTTGTGGGTTCATAAAAATTTAGGCCTTACAAATGGTTTCAAACATGCATTCTTAACTTTAATTTGCTTTTAAAAATAAAACACGATTTCTTCCGGTGGTTTGATTGCTTATAATAAGTCCTGTTTGGGAATGGGAATGCTCCTTTGGTAAATAAGTGTTTTATCCTAATAAGTACTCGTGAGTATTTGATTTCAAAAAGGGTAGTATAGGTGTTTTCAAAATGACATGGTGGAAGAAGATGAGTCAAAAAAAAATTAGCACTTAAAACTAATAAGTTAAAAATTTGCGCTTCTTTTCAGGACTTAGCACTTATTTGGGTTTATTTCCCAAACTTAAATTAGTGCTTATTGATGTGTCTCGACGGATAACAAGTGTTTATTCAAATAAGAAATTCCCAAATTTAGCCCAAGTGAGTAAATAATCCTTACTAAATTGCCACTCCAATATTCTTGATACGGTACATGCCTGACCATAAAAAACAAAAAGCATGATGATCATCAACAATATCATTCTCTTTTGTTGAAGTTTGGACGATGTGCTGGAGTAGCTGGCATTTCTAAGTTTTTTGATGTAAGGCTTTTCCATTAATCCTTTTGACTTGAAATTTGAAAAAGTTTGCATGACCTTTCTTTATATCTTTGAATAATATAAGAGGATGTTCTACAAATGAATGTTTTTCTTTTTTTTTTTATTTTTTTGTAATTTGTTTGCCAAATTACCACAACAACAACAACATGCATCTTCTTGAACCGTGTTTTTTTGTTAAAACAAAATGATTTTATTTAAAAAAACATATTTTTAAAACCACCAAAAAGTACAGATATTGTATGATATATAAATGATGATGAGATCTGTTATATAACAATTTTCAATCTATAGATTCAAGAAAATACCTTTGGTTTCAGTTTTAGAAATAAAAAACATTAATATACAACAAAAAATTTATTTTTAAAACCAGATGATTTTAATTTATTTTTGAACTCATAAGCCATAACAAGAAAAAACAATTCACATAGACGAACAACGAAACTGAAATATTTCAAGCTACATCATATGAAAGGATAGTCTATACTATCATAGTATCATCATCCATTCCTCTATCAAAATTTTAAATTAACATCCCAAAAGCAACCAAATTACTCACGAGTGAACGCACTAATAAAGAATTAACTGTTCAACTGTTCAACTCGTGTTCGGATGTTCTACACACAAGAATTCAAACCACACCTACTTGGCTACTCACAAAACATTTCAGTCACACATTCTGAACATCTTCAAAGGAGTTTACATCTGCGCCCTACAAGGGAGTGCCCTATAATGTCAAACAGTACATCCCCGTCGTGTATTGGGAATATCTCTCGATGGTGTACTGAAAATAATTATGTCATTATTGAGAGATATTTCCAATACAAGGTGGGAATGAATTATAGGATGTTGTGGGGGCAGATCTAAACTGTCCAAAAGGATTAGTCAAATTTAATGGTTATGTTATGGATTGTGGGCCATATACATATTATGGCTGATATGTTAGTTGAGTTGAAATCCACTATCCATGCCAAGGTGGAGTCATGAATTGAAATCCACTCATCAAAATTTAAGATAGAGTCACATCAATATATTGAAGGCCGTGATTCATGCTTTTAAAATTATTTTAGGGTTTATTTTAAGACAAATTTGATTCCAACAATATTCATCAGATTGGTTTGGATAGGGTAAATCCTAGACCTTAGAACCCACCTGGGTGAGGATTAGTTCCAAGCATTTGGAATCAAATCATATCCTTTAACAGATTGGATAAAGTCAATTTAACACCGATTTCAAATCAAAACCTACCCATTTGCTCACCCCCTAAGTGTGATTGCAATCGACCCCAATGAACTCGAATGAATAGCAAAGACACCCATGTCAAATAAAAACTGATGTATTGCCTTGAATCCATTAATTGGGGGGGTCATATGCAATCACGGTTGCAACAGAATCTCTCCAAACAGCCAAAGTGCTCCTCCTCCTATACGCTGACCCTGCACTCAACCTTTTAGAATTCCTTTGTACGATTGCGATAAGATTTTTAATATTTTCTTTACTTTTTAGGGCTCCATGGAAAAGATATAATATTTGATCAATCAACTGGAATTATAAATATGATGACCAATAAGGTCTTATTTATCAAAATTTATGGGTGGTAAATAAAATACAGGGTAACAATCTGTAGTTTAACCCTTTTAAGGGTAACTCGACTGAGAAGGCCATCGAGTTGATTGCACTGAGTGAGTTACTTGAAAATATAATTAATATAACTTGAAGATAGAATGGTAAATAAAATTCCTAAAGTACCCCTTTTTTTCGATGACGGCATTTTTTATTTTTATTTGTTTCTGGTTTAGTTTTTATCAATTGCATGCTGTGTTCGTTGCAATTTCAGATTTTTATAGAAACTTGCAATTTCGATTTTATCACTCAACTTAAGAGAGGATTTTTATTGAAATCTAAAAATTCGTGGGGATCGTTGTTTCAAATAAAAACTCATCTTAAAGACTGATATTTTCCCATTCCCTTCGGCCTTCGTTCACTCGAAGATTTTTTAGCGAATGGAGGAGACAAGAGAGGACCGAAAACCTGAACCTCGCGTCGAACAAAGAAAAATAAATAAATTAAAAAGATAAAGAGTCATAAGAAATTTCCTATCTTACGAGTCCCTGACCACCTCTGGCGCTCCATCCACTGGGTTGGTTTAGAGAACGGAAATGTGACCACTCGGCAAGGCTGGCCTTCCCCAAGATGATAGCTCCTGCTTTTCTCAGCTTCTTCACCACACCGGCGTCACCAGGGACGATCGATCCTTCCAGCGCTAACGATCCCGCAGTTGTATTCAGCCTGTCCTTGCTGCCGATGTTGTCCTTGAGAAGAACCGGAATCCCGTGCAGGCCAGACAGGGACGACCCAGCAGCTGGCGCATTCATCTTTCGTTCTCTATCGGCCTTGTCAGCCTGATTCAGTGCATCGGGGTTCACCTCTATTACTCCACGAAGTACTGGGTTCAGCTTACCAATCTCTCCGAGATAGAACTCCACAAGTTGTCTCGAACTTAGCTGCTTCTGCTGGAAGGCCGCCTGGAGGTCATGCACACTGGCTTCTCTGATAGGAAAACTGTCGCCGGCAAGGTTTTTGCTTAGACCTGAGATAGTCAGAACCAATAAGGCGGGCAAGAGGAACAGCCGACGAAGAATCTCACAGTGAAACGCCATTCCCGAATCCTGAGTGGAAGGCTCACCTATTTACCTACTTCGGCCGGAATATAAACATTCTTTTCTTTTTTTTTTTATGCATATCAGCGCAAATTATCTACGTTTGGATTCAAAGGAATTATTCCTTCGAGTCCAACCAAAGAGTGCCACGTCAAAAGATAGTCAACTAGTAATCACGGATAGTGCGACGTCGGATCTACTCACGACAAAAAACTATTCCAACGCACGCACATCACACTGACAGACATTGTGGGTCTCGGTCTTAACTCATGTGTTCTAATCTCATGGTGAGCAAGCAGATCACCAACTCAGATAATGCAAGAAAGCTCGAGCTCGTTGGTTGGTTATAGATTTCACACAACCATGGTTCAAACTTCAAAGTATCAAATTTCAGGTCTAAAATTGTATATATAATAAAAAATAAAATTATAATAACACCTATAAATAGGTATATCAGGGCCAAGAAAATGGAGATCGGATATCCTCTCACACCTGGCACCTTACACGCACATTCTATCATGCATTGGAACATCTTCCGTACTTATTGGTAGATGTATCTGTGAGGCGCCTGTGAGAAGCAGATCGTAGCTCAAGGAAATGATACTAAGGATTTGCTATGAATACAAGCCAAAGCTGTCCTGATAAGATATTGTATCCATACATTAGGAGCATCTCTTTCATGGGAGATATTTTCAATGTGCCGCCCGTTGGGACATATTTGGAGTGTTTGGTTAGTAGCAGATCTAAACATATTGTAGAAAAGTACTTCCTGTTCACTTTCTCCAACTGCAGTACATTGTAGCCGGCGCCACACATCCCACCAAGGAGCCCAGATCTTCTTCTCACAGAAAAGGACACCTCACACGTGCCTGACACATATATTGTCATGCATTGGGAACATCTTCCATAAATATTATTTATTATTTATGAGAGATGTTTCCAATGCACTGTGAGGCGCCCATTTGTGGGGAATAGATCCCGCTTCGGTAGAGTGTGGGTACTGAATTGTGGGCAGGAAATCCGGAGTGCCTACTGCCATCACTAAAAACCGCTATTTTAAAAAAAAAAGGGGGAAATTTATGGTTTACACGCACATGTAGTTAAATTAATGGAATGTACATTGGATTCTCATCCTTGGAAAGTGTGTACAAACTATAGAGCTTTAAGCTTTATAGAGGCATGTCAAATTATCAATACTTTACCCGTTATGTAATTAAACGGGTGTATCGGGCCCTAAAGATATGATATGCCTCTATTGGGTGTATTATGTCAATGCTTAGAACCTTGATAATTATGAGATGGAAGTAATAAAACTTTTTATAGGTTACCGCAACCATGGATAAGAACCGCTATTATGTGATCCATTACTCTTTTATGGGATGCAAGCATATAAAACGTTCTACTATGATCTAATTTTGGAGGGGCCACCACCCACTAGCTAGCATGACAAATATTCTTCTAGTCCAAACTCTCTTTATTAAGAAAATTTGAGGAAGGAGTTTTATGACATTTCCAATTAAGTAGTGATCATTTAAGTCCAATTCAATCATTATTTTTTTGGGTTATGTCTAATTATTCAATCACAATCCAAGTTGCACATTAGTGAGAGTGGCCAATTTCCTATGTTTTAAATAAATTTGTATCTTAATGCTATTTTTTATTAATTTTTAGATTTTGTTGGTTTGTTATTATTTTCATATTATATTTAGGTAAAATTATGAAAAACCTCCTCTTATAACAACTCTATAAACCATCCACGTGTTTTGATCCTAACATAAACATTCCCTATAGTTTTGAAAAAACAAAAATGCAAATACCTCATTGCCATTAGTTTTCCAATAAAAAAGAGAGTGAAGTTAACAAAATACCCTTATCATTGTTAAGGTGTTATGTACACAAGTTAAAGTTTCAATTTAACCCTCTACTAATTTATTTTACTTGACAACTTTCAAAAGTAATTCTCTCTACTCTTTTTGCATGAAATAAGGTTAAAAGGGGGCAAATAATTTTTTAAGGTATTTTAGTATATTTATATTTAAATGAAGTTGGTTATAAGTAAATTTGATATTTTTAAAAAAGTTAATGCATTACATCAGCATTTTCCATTTAGAATGTTGACGGAAGGAAAGTATTTGCACCTTTTTTTTCAAAACAATAGGGGAGGTTTTTGCTAAAGTCAAAACATAGGGGAGGTTCATAGGATATTGTTAGAAAATCTAAGGAGGTTTTTATAAATTTTCTTATTTTTAAATGAAAGTTAAATTGATTATAAATTATTAAAGCATATTTTAAATTAATCAAATTATTAGTTTTTGTTTTTATTAATGCTTACTAATTAACTATATTAACTATTTACTAAAAATTAGTTATAAACTAATAATTGGTAGATAATTTTGTATTAGTTTTATATTAATTTTAAATGGATGTTAGTTTTTAATTTACATTATTAGTTTTTTTAATTTATTTTTATTATATTATAGAAATATTCTTGTCAATAATAACAATTAATAATTATTATTATTTTATTTATGTAATTTACTAAATTATTTTTACTATAGTTAATTAATTTGAATTATTTTCAAGTGGAATATAAATGGATTATAATTTTTAGGATGTTTATTCAATGTTTTCAATCCATCAAAACCATTCAAATCGTGACTTGGCCCTATTTATAATTTCGATTTTCCTAAAACCCACTATTTTGTCCAAAATTATTGATTTGGTCAAGACACGTTCAATCTAAGCAATTGGACCATTAACCTTTTTAACCTAGTTATTAGGTCACGTGTTACAATATACAATGTATTAAAAACTTCTAGAGGATTTAACTTTGTGCTTGGTTGTTCGATTGGGGTGATCTTTTTTTTATTTTGAATGATTTTTTTGCAACCCTCTATATGAAAAACTCATTTTTTGCCTCGAATTTTAATTTTCAGTCTTTTATTTATAATAAATTAAAAAAAAGTAATTACAATATATATATATATATATATATATATATATATATATATATATATATATATATAACGTGTCATGGTTTAATTCATCAAACTTGCACAATCGAACCGTTTACCCATTACCTAGAGTAAAAAACTATTCTGCCACCAAGTCAGTTTAAATAAATAATATTTATTCTAAAAAGCAAATTACTTGATTAATTAAAAATTAAATATCTTTTAAAGAGAAGTGGATTATTTAGCTTAATAATATAATTAATCATTGAGTATCTCTATTTTAATATAATTAATTTTTATTCATTAATTATAATTTAGTGTAAATACATCTAAAATTATAATTAAACTGAAATGGATAGATAGATAGATAGATAGATAGATAAAGTTAATGAATTTAATGGAATAATGGAGAGGAGAGAGAATAAGTGGCATGAGTTATTGAAGGAGAGAGTCAATGATGAGTTAATGAGAAGAGATAAAAGTCTTAAAGGTGATTACCTAATTGAGTTATTTTGTTCAATTTTAAAATTAGAAAAATTAAAAAACCAAAAAAAAGTACCTTTCAAAAACAAGGAGAAAGCATGAAAGTGCCAACTTAGCACTTTCCATTTTAATATATAGATTATAATTTATAGAGAAAATTACATATAGGTACCATATACTTTCAAATGCATAATTCAAGTATCATAAACTCTCAAAAATCAACATTCAAGTTCAATAACCTTAATCAAACTTGAGTGACAAAATGATCAAGTTGTCCATTTTGAATTCCTTTTACGCAATCTTGGTAATGAATTTGTTGAGCTGGTTTGGGAGAATGGTTTGGATCTTTATTTATTTATTTGTGAAGAGAATGGTTATATTCTAATACGAGGTCGGTCTAGTAGAACTTAAAGAGTGCCCTTATGAAATGGTCTTATAAAATATTTGAAGGGTAGTTTTTGGAATGTGTTTGCACACATGGCAGAATTCGGATTTGATGAATGAGATGGCTGTTGAACTGGCTGTGGAACCAATGATGAGGTTCCACGTCAATAATAAATTCATGAGCCCCACTGTGATAAAGTGTGGGCCCCATTTATTTTATTATTGGCTTGGAACTTTATCGATCATTGGTTCCACAGCTAGCCGGACAGCCATTATGTTCAGCCAAACCTTGCTCCACATGACATCATATGCTATAGAAATTGAGAGAATGCTAATAGTTGGACTTAGTGTTGATTTTTGAATGTTCAAGGTAATTGATTGCTCCACTTGAAAATTGAGAACCTTTAAGTCATTAAGTGTCACTACCCCTAAGGTACCTATTTGTAATTTTTACTAAATCATATTATCAAATGTTTTATATTATATTAAGAATAATACTTTTTAAATATTTAAAATTTGTAAACCCAACTACCCCATTTTTATGCCATGAGCACACAAAACCCAGCAAATAATAAGGGTGAGCATTTAGTTTATTTGATTACTGATGGAGGATGATTTGGCCCGGCCTACGAAATGGTGACACGTGGACCTGACTCAGCACGAGCAACAGCTGAACATCATGGCCTAGTACGGCCAAGTAACGAGCCCATAAAGCAGCTTGCTACATCGTAGCTCGCAAAAGAAAGAGCTCGCCACAACGCGAGCTCCGGGTTCCCCGAGCTACCCCGAAAGGGATATTCCGAGGCAACTTTAGCTTGCGAGCTAGGGAAACCAGTTTGCCCGAGCCCCCAAGCAGATAAGTCATCCCAGGGACCAATTCTACTAAGGGTAACCCTGAAGCATTCCGAGCTCGCTACAAAGTAGCTCGCGAATGAGCAGCACGAGCGTTCCTCAGGAGCATCCATCTGACAAGCCGTACCGATCAGACTGCGCCACGTCCCTTAATTGATGGTGCAGTCCCTGTCCTTTTGACAGTTTGCACCCAGGTTTCTCAACAGGCGGAGGCACGCCTCCTCTTTGAAGACGTGTCACTCACTCGGGCAAGGAGTACGTTGCAACGGCCACCTGCGCAGCACTGACAGGTAACGGCTATGGCAGGGGCTTAGTGGCGGTTATGCCCGATCTGACAAGAACGCTCCTATAAAAGCCCTCAAGGCAG